ATCTAACACAACCTTTATAATAACGCCTTGTGCAGCATTCTTGCCTTGATTCCTGGAAGGTCACATACTGTCGCCTTTCAATAAACAAACAGTTGCCTTTCAAGAATTCACATTGTTATTACAGAACACGGCACAACATTTTACGCCACCCACTGTCATTGCATTTAGAAAGAAAGAAATGACTTTGTGACAACGTTTTTTATCTGTGTTGAAACTGAAATTACTGTATGAGGGCGAGAAAATACAGCAATGTCGAAACACAGTACAAGTGTTGAGAGGTCTATTGTTTTCATTGTGTTGTGCTGATGCCACATCAAACGCTTGGCTGTCCTTGCAAATGCATCAGAAAGCATGAAATTGTTGGCTTGTGGAAACTCTATTTGCAAACAATAGACTTCATTCAAATACATAGTTTTTTTGCCTTGGTGTCAGAGTGTGTGATAACTTCAAAAAGGACTTCTAACTCAAAGTGTTTCTTTCTCATGTACAAAAGCTCCAGGGTCAGAGGGTTATCGTCAACCCCATTCTTAACTTGTCATTTCTGTCAGAAACATAAAGAGAGCTGACTCAGAAAAGCTTAGGAGTAGCCTTGCTTCGGTCAACCTGCCACTTCAAATGTCACGTGCAGGGTTTGAAAGTTCACTCTAATTTGCCCGACTGCAAACATCCATTAGCGGCTCTGCTCTGTCCCATCAGTGACAGTGAGCACAAAAGGTGACAAATACATAGATTGGTGGGTATGGTGGGGACATGCAATGCTCTGGAAGACGAAGTGAGCTGGAATTGTGTCAAATAATTTGGAATTGATTTCAATTCAGGCTAAATAAAGAGCCTCAAAAGCCATTTGGTATACAGGTCAACAAAATACTAAACTCCAAGCTCTTCAGGGATCTGTTCAAGCTCATTTATGTTGATAGTCCTATGTAATACTAAGGCTTAGCAAAGTTTCCAAACCGTCCCACCTTCCTTTAATTCATGTTACCCTGTCCTTCCTTTTCCCATTCTTGACTTCTGCTACTATCACTAAAGGCAAACCCCCTACAAAACCAACAACAACTTTAAAGACCCTTAAAGCTTCTCTGGTCAATAATTCAATAATAACTTGGGTGAAATTTCTATGTGTAATTTGAAAGAGGTTGCTCATTGTGATTAACCTGCAGACAAGTATCACTCGACTGTCATTCCTCTTTGCTTTACAGAGCACTCTAGCATATTTTTTTCATAGCTTAGGTTTAAAAGCAGGCAACTTTATGGTTGTAGCTCTCTTGCTGATCTCATTAACACCATTGTCAGATGGAGCTGCAGCAGTTTTCAGGCTTCAAACACCCACAGCTAGCTTCAGTAAAAATAGCTCTTAATCAAAATAGAGCAATTTTTTTCTCAGGAGTTTGTGGAGACCAAAAACAGAGCTAAAAAGAATCTGACTATCGGGTTAATATTAATAAATAGGCCAGAAACTCCAAATGATGGATACAATTGTTATTAATCTCAATGTTTGTTTGGCGGCTTCTTGCACTTACGAAACCTAAATGGAACCGTTTTGTAGTCTTGCAACATGCTATTCATTGGCAAATATATGTGCTCGGCTATTTATCTCGTAGAGATAGAAAAATGAAAGGATTCAGATTTACTTCTCGGATTCTATATCCATTGTATTCAATATCTCAACCCTACTGCTCCTGTCTCATCAACAACCTTTCAAGCTTGCACGTTTTTAAGCGTTTTTCTTCTGCTCTTTCTTCAGTTAGACCGGCTCGATTCTAGCCCAATCATCTGCTGCCTGAGGAACTCCTAAGCAATGGAGCAGGATCTGGACACGCAAACTGCCACATATGCTTGCTGGTGTACAGAGAAATATTTTGGCAAGAATACGAGTGTTTGAAAGAAACTGTGCATACTGATGACAACATAAATGATGCTGCAGGGCTTTGAGTTTGGGTAGTCTCTCATTAAAACACCAAACTACAATCATGGAGTGACTCTTAAGCCATCACAGGTGTGAATGTTTGTTCCTTCAAAGAAGGGTAGATTAAAAGAAAGACTTTTAAAGAATGTTTTATATGAAGATGTGGTGCACATATTCCAAATTCTAAGTGGCACTGCAAAAGAAGGGAATGCATATTTTCCCCCAGCTGCGTCTATCTCAATCAGACTAATATTTCAAGTATGCATTGACTTACCAGTCCGTCACAGTTGCTGATAGCCACAGAGGCCTCTGGCATGTCGCTGACGTCTCCAGTGAAAACACAGTCCCTGTGGATATGTTCCTTGGCCTTTTCCACAAAGTCCTCATGCCATTCCACAAAAGCCCCCGGGGCCACCAGCCTCCTGTTGGCCCTCAGGCGGAGGTGCAGTTCTTTTCCAAACACAGTGACATTGAAAAACAAGTGCTGCGTAGAGGCGGGGGTGACCGGGGGCATCTCGGGGGCACTGCGGGCCACCCTCCTGCTGCTGCTGCTGCTGCTGCTGCTGCTGCTGCTGAAGGCTGAGGCGGCATCAGCATCAGCATCACCATCACCATTACTTCCACTTCCAGCAGAGACCACGTGAGAAATGTACCGGCCCTGGGAGTCTGTGCTGAATGGCACGATAAGACCATATTCACTTAACTTTCCAGAGAGTTTTTCTGATGGGACAGATAGTGTCAAGTGAGAATCACATTCACAGACCTATGGCAAGCTCTTATGGAAAAAAAAGACTATAAGGGAAAGTTGGCTGAATGACTAAAAAGGCATATTGAATTATAGAGGCCAGAACTAAACATTATGACATGCTTATTTTTATATTAAGCATTTCAAAGCTGTACAATGAAATTATGTTTGTCTTTAAAACACTAAAGTAGAAGGCTATGACTAATAATTCTGCAGACAAAAAGGGGAGTCAAGCAGTTCAACACACTGCATTGACTTCATCCATAACAGTTAGGCTGTCAGATTTATTATGTGGACCTATTAATGGAATTAGGCCATCATTTTAGATAATTGCCCCTCCACATTTAGACTTTTGAGTGCACAGATTATTGATATATATTGCAAAAAAAGTAAGTGGATAACTCACCATGTCTTTCTGCAGCGAAAATATGATCCAAAAAAAGTTGACAGAGTGAAAAGCACATCAATAAATACGTACAATCCATAGCGAGGGCTATAGTGTGAAAGCTGCCACTTCAGCGCTGAGTTTTCCTTTCTGTTGTAAACTTTGAGCAAAGTCCTTCCTTATGAACAAAAAGCGCAAATGCAGGAGAGGTCCTCAGAGTTGAGCTGCAGCGAAGCAGCCGGGCATTTCTGAGCGTTTCCTTCTAGACGCCAAACTGACAGATACTCAAAAGTTGTTTCCAATCTTTTGGCCTGTGCTGAACTGCATAGACCAAGACTGTCCCATCCATTTAGGGAGTTAAGGGGGGGATATCTGGGGTGCTGATGACGACAACTCTCCCCGGTAAAAACCAGGACGGTTTGAAGAGGTAGCCCACTTTTTTTTCCAACCCGTCTCCGTCCCTTTCCTTCGTCAGATAACTTTTTTTTTAAAGGCAGGAGTGCAAGTTAACGCACGCCTACGCTGAGAAAAAAAGTCGGAAGAGTTCAGATAAAGTGTGCGGAGACAGAGTGTCCCGGTGGTGAAACATCTGCCGTCCAGTCGTGCACCATTACGCACCAATGGTTCGGCTGCGGGACTCTCCACTGCTCAACTTGAAGCCACTACCAGCCAACAGTGGGAGCGCCTTCTCTCCACCAGACAACCACATATTAAGCCAAGCGATTTTTTTCTCAGCTCAAAAAAGAAAATAAACGAAAAGTAACTGGAGACGTTATATCATCCTGTCCACCTCCACAGCTAATATCTTACAAAAAGTCCCTCTTAAAACGGGTGAAATGTATGCCAGATGCATGGTTATAACTCATATATGTTTACATGAGGCCACAAACACGTCAGTGATAACGCTGCAATAAATCAGGAATGACAGAGGTCAAAACGTTCCAATGCACGTGACTTTGACTTGTTTGGACAACATCGAATAAATTATTATCTCGTGTTGGTTTGAAGACGGGAATTAGACCCATGTTGAGAATCACAGATATGCATACTTGATAACACCTAACAACAACCCAGTCAAAAACCTCAAAGGGATATGTAATTTACTTGACAAAATACCCAAATATTAAGAACATTACTTTAAAAAAAATCAATATTAAAGAAGAAACAGTAGATCAAATGAATTTTTGTTTCCCAAGTGTGTCTTAAAATAATGCTCATGAGTGCAATGAAACAGTTATTGCTGTTATTATTCCTTGTATTCGTTTTGTGCTATTATAGACTATAATATTTGAAGCCAAGCCATTTAGACAATGCCTTCGAAGGTGAAGGGAATTTTTTGAGTCGAGAATTACTTACGTGAGAATTTTTGAAAGTCTTTTTTTCAGTAAACTGCCTTTTTTGTGTCACTTACTGTAATGTACTCTCAACTGCAGCTTAGTTAATGTTAATGCTTTTACTTTTTATATGAGCCAGTGCTGACTGGTGGACAATTTAAATCTACCAAAACACTGTGCAACTACATGTTTATTTGAACATATGAAAAAAGTCCAACCCATCCATTTACAGCCAAATTAAGTGCTTTCAAAGGTAAGGTAATGTGATTTTTACGAACTAATCATGTTCTATGTCGATTGAATACAGTCTAGAATAAACAAAAGCAAGCCTTGCATGATCCTGATTAATGACATTATTGTGGTGACTCTAGTTAACCATAATTCACTTTTGGGTTACAGTTCCTACACGGACCTTGTTTAGTGTAACACCGGGTATTTAGGTTGCCAAGCTAGAGCTAGCAAGGCACTCTAACTTGACTCTCATCACTGAGTACATGTTTGATATCTCTATGGCTTGATGGAAAATAAAGAGTGGAATTCCATCTTAAATACTCCGCCTCCGACTCCTTCTTACCGGCACTACACTGGTGACCCTGCATTTTTCGAGATAGTTTCCGAAAAAATTTGAACATGGCTGAACGAGATATTTTCGTTAAGCTGCCGGAGTTTTGGGAGCATGCCGCGGAGGCATGGTTTGCACACGTGGAGGCTCACTTCGCTTGCAAGCATCTCCACGACGAAGAGCTGAGATATTACCACGTGGTGGCTTCGCTGGGGGTTTCTACTTCAGCCAGCTTAGTGGGTTTCATCGCAGCACCCCCACGCCTCGGCAAATACGAGGCTATCAAGGCTCTTCTCCTGAAGACATTTGGTTTATCGACGAGAGAAAGAGCCCGCCAAATTATGGACATTCAGGGCCTCGGAGATGGCAAGCCATCTCAGTTAATGGAGAAGATGCTAAGCCTGCTAGGAGGGGAAGATACCCAGATTTTGTTCATGGAGATGTTTCTTCAACACTTACCTCCCCGGGTCCAGACGGCGTTGGCCAACACACCCATCACGGAGCCCCGCGCGCTGGCCGGAGAAGCGGACCGGCAAGAAAGCATGGCGGAGGCCGGACACGGCGGCGCCGAGTCGGCCAAGAGATACCGGTGAGTGCTTCTACCATGCACGTTTCGGGACGATGGCAAGGAGGTGCATCGCTCCATGCAGCTACAAGCCTCCGGGAAACGGGGGTGCCGACGCTCAGTAGTGGCTCTGAGTGTCGGCGGCACGGACAGGCTCCTTTTCGTCAAAGACAGTGTTTCAGGGAACCTGTTTCTCTGCGACACGGGTGCGCAGCGGAGTGTGGTTCCCGCGTCGAGAGAAGACATCACTCGAGGCGGGCACGGCCAACGGCTAACAACGGCTAACGGCGGACCCATTCGCACGTACGGATTACGGCTTATGTGTTTGTGCATCGGTGGACAGCGTTTCAGCGTGGGAGTTTGTAACAGTGGACTATTTTCTTTTCCTCTTCGTTGGGGCGGACTTTTTGTGTGCTCATGGGCTGTTGGTGGACATTAAAAATAAACGTTTAGTGGATGCCTTAAACGTTTTCTT